GAGGCGTATATTTTGCCGTATGTAAATACATATTTTATAAATACCACACAAACATATTTTATGTTTATAAATATATTAGTTGTATTATGTATCGCAAGACCTGCCCATGAATTTTGAAATCAAGTAATCACGTGATTATGTCATACTGGCTGTGACTATTGGCAGATAACATGTTTACTCTGCAGCACCACGATGTCACAGAACTCAAATACTTTGTAATTCCGTTAAAGCGGGAGGGTCGTCACCTGCGCACGCGCAATCGATTATAACAACATACGCTAAGAACGCAATGGCTCATGGGTAAACGCCTGTTTGTAAACAATGACACGCTATGGCCACCTGAAGCATGCGTAGGTGACTACTCCCCCGCTTTAACTAGTTGTGAGAAAGTTGGTTCATCCAGTATCATTACAAGTGATTTAAGTTTCCCCACGCGCACGACGACTATGGTTGCCACACATGGCACATGGAGGAGAGCATGGACATCGATCCCGGTATCCCTTAAATTTAGATTCTCACAAAACATATGTTCAAACAAAATTGAAAAGTATATATGATTGAATTGAACATACCAGTAAGATACAGAATATAGCCAAACAACATTGTGTAGTCACTGAACATTTGTTCACTTATAAAGTTCGAAATTTCTCGAAAAATACAAAAACTTTCAGATCTAAAAATCAACTACCTTGCATCTCTTCTCCGTCATTCCTTTTCAGCGATAATGCTATCGTAGGTCCACTTATTGATGAAGCGGTCTTCGAATCAAAATTGTAAGGATTACCTTCGAATGAAGTCAACTGTGGCGGCAAAACATAATTATAGTAAAATAAGTAATTTAGGAGAATCTTATACATAAGTCACAATGGAAGGGTTATAACGAGTGTAAACTTCTCCTGTCAAGTAAAGTTATTAACATATATATCATTTATGGAGGAACAGTATCCTGTACTCATTATCTATAACTGGATTGAATATCTGTTCTTTCATCAGTGTTTATATGTGTGAATTTAAGTTTGCAGTTAATTAGTCTGGGGTGGCTCTGAACAACAACTTGGAAACAAAATGGCCATCAATTGGCCGTTCTAAATTAGGTCCCTAAACAAGATTCATGTGCATACAGGTCCCATAAAGTTAAACATGCATACACATGCAAGATCATGCTCTAGAAAAGTTGAAATGCTTAATTTTGGTGCATTTTTAGCACCAAAATGGCCACCATTCACCCAGGTTCAACTATGAGCAATAAATTGATGTAAAATTTAATTAAATAGTCGAGGTATGTCTGCCTGATAGACGGAACCAATCGTCTAGTGCCTGCAGTCATAATTCATTGAGCAGCACAGTATAAGTATGCGAAAAGATGGTATGTATATAAGTATCGAATGACACGGAGTTGCAATGGGGTCGATGCGATCTCATTCTGTCCGAGTTAATCTTTTTTTGTATTTTTTATGATAACCTTATAATTATTATACATATAAATTATTCATATATACATTATTTCTTGTAGTAATATTTCATTGAGAGATAACAACCAAAGATGTCAATAAATACATTTTTGCTGTGTGAATGTTCGCGTTTAGTGACTGAATTTTATTTCCAACGCATGATATAGTGCTTCTGTGTTCAATCAAAACAAAAGAAAATGTTCGAATGTGGTGTCAATAATCTAAAATACATTCAGTGCCGATGACGTAGTTCTCTATACCAGAGAAAATATGAACGTTTGGACAATTGTGGACACGTTTTAGAACAAATGTAGATACGGCTTTCTATGGAACAATAAAATTTTAAGATTTATAAAGTGTAAATATAATATTGTATGTTTATGCGTATAACATTCACATCTTATTGGTGAAAAAAATAATATATGTCATTGTAATATTACTTGTGTTGCAACAGGCTCCTCAGCATCACCGAAGAGTTCCCCCATGGGTAGCTTGAAATTCCCACCACCGGTTGCCGCTTTCAACTGTGATGTCATATTGGAAGGGTTAGATCGTTGTAACTTGACAGCAAATGCATCTGATTTAATCTCGATTGGATCAGCATCGGATTCAGTTTGGTTCAGAATAGCATCAGATACAGTGTTCATACTGAACTGATTGTGTTTGTTACACCAGCGTTCTAATAGAAAGAAAACAACGGAAATTGTGGTTGCAAATAGTGTTCAACACGGAACTGAAAGGTTAATATAGTTAATGTTAAATTGTCCTGTTAGAATAGAATGGAATATATCCAAAAGATGCATTTTTTTTAATTGTGAACAATAGAAGGCGCTCTAGACTATTGTGTATGTATATCTCACCTTATCATGATTTTCTCCAACTGACACTTTTTGTTTTGGCCTAGCAGCAAGTTTAATATCAAACATAGATACAGATATCACGTTACTGCTAGTTGACAGGATTTCTGAAAGAAGAAATAGTGATTATTGTAATGTTCTCCAAATATAAACAACTTTTATATTTTGTGCAACTTTTTTTGTGCAACTTTTTTATAAACTATGTATTACAGAAGGAGTCAACAGTATTTTAGAAGGGAGGTTTGAACAAACCATCATCATTAACAGCAAGCTGGATAACCATAGCATTTCCTAATCTAGCCATCATTGCCATGGTAATAAAGATATTAATTTGTTATTTTACATGACATAGTGTTGGAACATATGTTTTTTCATTAAAGTTAAAGGGAACCTCAATCCAAACAA